TTATTCATATAAAGGTAGTTAATTATGTCTTTGTTTATAGTAAACTTTCATTGACAAACTTATAGTTATAATATTTCTTTTCAAGCTCAAAGATTAGAACGACTCCGAAAAGAGAGACAAAACCAGATCAAATGCAAAAATATTCAGTGGAAAGAAAGAAATTCTAAGCAATCAGGTAAATTGAAATAATTTTAATTGTTAATTTGAGATTTATATATTTAGTTTATATTATTATATAAGAGCTTTTAATTTTAATTCATCCTTTTAAATCCTCTAGGCAGATACCTCTTGTGTTTTAAGCTTTGAACTCTTTCACTTGGGTGCCTTGGCCTGCTGAAGCTGTGTGTTCTTTAGGTCTTGTCTTTTTGGCCACTCCTCCTCCTGGGTCACAAGAATTGATGAGTGCAGGGCATATTTTGTAGAAACTGTTGTACCAGTACCTTGTTCTTAGAGCCAAGGTGTACCTATGATTTGGATGGGCCTCTGGATTGTAGATCCCTCCTGGCAGTTCTAACCTAGACTTTCCCTTGCCTCATTAGCCCCAATAACAATCTTTTTTGCATATATGCTAATTCTTTTCCTTTAGCTTACAGACCATTATGTTGCTGGTATGAACGTTTGCAGTATGTGTTCCTATGGTATGTATTGATACATTAAAAAGCTGGCTGTCTTATATATTTTCAAAGCTTCAATCTCAGCAAGAAGAGAAGACTTTTTAAAAAAGTACAAAATAGAATGCTATTAAAATATTTTCTAATGTTTTATCATGTTTCCTAGACTTTTTTTTTTCCTCCTTTGAAATAAGTGTCTGCAGTTGTCTTTTATATCTTCTTAGCACCTCCCACTACCACCCTGGCATATAATACATGTCCAATCAATTTTCGTTGACTGACTCCTTTGCTACATAATATTTATGAAACCAATAATATTAATGATTATCACATTAACAGCAGCACCTACCTGTGATAAGTGCTGTGATAAGTACCTTATGTGCATTACCTCCAATGCAATGGTCTTATAAGGTGTAGGTATCATTGCTGTCGTTAACAGACGAAACAGAGGGTCACAGAGGCTTAACTTGCTAAAGTTACAAGGCTAGGAATTGGTACAGTAGAGCCATGTTTTGTATCTAGCACTGTCTGCACCTAAAGGCCAATCTCTTTCTGCTAAACCATGTCATATAAAGTGGTTATTGCTTTCTCCTACTATAATTGTAAACCCAGGAGTGTTCAATGGGTATGATTTTCTTAATGATTGCTTCTAAATAACGACTGTTTAGAATGAGAAATCCACTTCTTTCTCTTTTTGTATCTCACTTCCGTGACTTCCTATAGTTCTTCTTGAATGTCTTTTTAGTTTTGCTCTTGGTACTTTAAAAATCTCTCCAGGCTGGCGTTTTCTGTTGATCTAGTTAATACTTCTCTCGGTTATATTTAGCATAAACTGGACAACCCTTACATCATTTATTTTGTCTACTTTCTTCAATATTTTTTTATGTCTTAATGTTTTTCCTATTTATCTCTCCTTAATGAATTCAGAGCCAGTTTAATAAGCCCATCGCTCCAGCTACCCTTTGTTTTGCCTTTTTCACTTCCATATCTTAAAATGATCATAAATAAATAAATTAATAAATAGAGCATCTCAAATGTATCTTCATTAACCCCTTTCACAATGTGAGAAGTAATTTCTTCAACCTAAATTTTGATGCATCTAATAAGTTTTGGTACTCCCCCGCCCACTCCTTAAAGTCTAATCCACTTTGACTTTTGTTCAGTGTTTCACAGAATGTGCTGGAGAAACAAATAGTCCCCTGTTGGCTTTCATTTTAACCACACTGTCCATTATGTATATCTGCTTCTCTCTCCCTCAGTTTCCTTCCCTTTATTTCTGTCTCAGAGATTTCAGTTATTGACACTGTGATCTTATTTCTGGAAGAGCTCCGTAATGTGCCTGCCCATGCTTTGAGATGTTGACCTTGATTCTGGCCAGACCAGTAGCCTGCCTGGTGGTTACTCTTGATGGTCAGAGTGAACCTCGTCAATGCACAGAAGAATGCCTTTGAATTTTCTGTTTAGCTGGGTTCTATCATTACCACAGACTGGCACTCTGGTTATCCCGAAATGTGTTAGAAAAGTGGAGTTCGCAGTCCACTAAACATCTACCTGGCAAATGGATCAGCCATTCTATTTTCACACACCTCTCAAATACATACTCTCTTTTGGCAAGAAATGCCACCACCAAATCATTTTGATATTAATTGGGAATTTTAGCGAGGTAATCATTCATTCATTTCCTCATTCTTTTTCTGCTAATTACATTTTGTGAAAAATCCTTTCATCTGTTTTTATCTTTGTTTTATTTCATTCCCCACTAGAAGAATCATCATTATGAATATGATGACCTCCCATGGAATGTTCTTTTCCCACACTTATTCTATCTGCTACATCCAGTTTATTCTTTAAGACACTGCCTAAATGCTTCCTTTTCATAGAGGAGTTAGAAGGGATCTTAGAAACCATCTGATCCATACCTCGAAGTTCTTTATGAACCTACTGACCCATATGCCACGAGACCACATGGTAAATGTAATACCTTATAGTAAGATTCTTTTAGTATTTCTGTAACTAAAACTGCACGGATAAATGTGAAGACTATGTCATTGGAAGACAGCTTTGTCAGGAATAATCTCAAAGACTAGTATTTTTAATTTTATTGTTTTAAAATGGTGTTGGTATATTATTTACAAAATTGGTTATTATTCTTATTTATTGAGTCATTTAACAAGTATTTCTTCTACAACTTCTGTGTGCATAGTAATTCTGTGCTAGGTGCTTTGGGGAATACATGATTCCTGTCCTTAAGAAGTTTGAAGTCTAATTGGAATTCAAGGCTATTTACATGTGAAGTTAAATAATAACTTAAAACAGTAATGTAGTTTTTATCAGTTACTTGTGAATATTCCTCAAGTTTTCGTAATATAACTTCTATTATTGGTTTCTTAAGACAACAGTTCCCAGATACAGTGGCTGTATAAAAGTCAGAAATGCATCCAGAAGTGCATGTTATAATGACATTCTGTATACATTTCTAGGCCCTGTCTGTGTAATTCCTGGTTCAGTAGGTAGAGGTTGGGGTCCACAAATCTATATTTTTCAGAAGCTCACTGGGTGATTCTGATGGGTAACCAGCTCTGAGCACCACTGGATTATAATATGCCAGCCACTAACTTTACTTCATCTTCATGCAAGCAGAGCAAATTAGCTGTTAATATTTCTATATTATTGGTGAGAAAACTGGAGGACAGAGGTGCTAACTTTCCCAAATTACTTACTTACAAGTAGTTACAAAGTCAGAATTCTTCTGGCCAATCTGATCCCAAACACTAGTCTCTCCACTGTGCTCCATTCTCTCCCATACCATAGGCAGAAAGGAGCTGCTCCTGGAGCTTTGAATGTTGAGGAGTCTTTGGGGTTCCCTTGTACCTTTCTTTCTCTGTGTGTCAGCTACAGCCAGTGTTCGGGAAAGGTACCAAAGCTTCTATATTAAAAACTTTCAGTTGAAAATAATGAAAAGCAAGTGAAGTCAAAGTTGAAGAGCAGCTTGAAGTTGAGCAACTCAAGAAGTATAGCTGTGACTTGTGAATGGCTCAGAACCAGAAGGAAGGGCTCTGTGACCTTTTCCAATCTTATCTCTGCTTTTTTGTGACCATCTGCTCTCTCCTTCCTCCTCCCATTCTGCTCCCTATGCCCACAACTACTTTCTCTGCTTTTCTGATCCAGAGTTATTTATTCAACAAGTATTTATTTAGCTCCCACAGTATGCAAAGGCAGTTATGCACTATTATAGGCCTAGAAGGTAGAGCAGTGAACAAGACAAAGTCCCTCCCCTTGTGGAGGTTGTTGGGGAGAAACGCATTTAAATGAACATAGGAGGTCAGGTGTCAGAATGGGAGAAGTGGCATAGAAAACAATATCCCCCAACTAAGGTGGGTAAGGAATGCTAGCCATGGGATCATGCTGTTTTATATAGGGTGATCAGGGAAGGTCTCATTAGGAAGGTGGTGGATGAGCAGAGATCTGAAGGAAGTGAAGGAGTGAGCCAGGCAGACACTGGGAGATGAATGTTCTAAGATGAGGGAACAGCAAGTGCAAAGGTTCTGTGGCAGAAGTGTGACTGATGTACTCAAGGAATAGCAAGGAAGGATGCTTGTTGGTTAGAGTAGAGTAAGCAAGGGAAGGAGTGGGGTCAGAGAAGTAAGTAGTGGGAGACCTGATCATGCACAGTCCTATAAGGACCCTGGGTGAGGTGATTTGATCAGAATACTGATATGATGTGTGACTTACTTTTTTTTTTCCTAGCTTGAATTTCATTTAAAACAACTATTTATTATAAAATTTTTCAAACACAAAAACAAAAAAAATTTCAAACATACAAAAGTAGACAGAATGGTGTCATGAACCCCACGTGCCCATCACCCAGCTTCAGTAGTTAGCAATATACGTTTCGTCTTGCGTCATTTAGGCATTCACCTCCCCTCCCCTCCCAGATTATTTTTAAGCAAATCCTAGCTATCATATAATTGCATACCTGAATACTTATGTGTTTATTTATTTATTATTTATTTTATTTTTGGCTGCATTGGGTCTTCGTTGCTGTGTGCAGGCTTTCTCTAGTTGCGGCGAGCGGGGGCTACTCTTTGTTGTGGTAGCTTCTCATTGTGGTGGCTTCTCATTGCGGTGGCTACTCTTGTTGCGGAGCATGGGCTCTAGGCACGTGGACTTCAGTAGCTATGGCACGCGGGCTCAGTAGTTGTGGCTCACGGGCTCTAGAGCACAGGCTCAGTAGTTGTGGTGCACGGGCTTAGTTGCGGTGCACGGGCTTAGTTGCTCCGCGGCATGTGGGATCTTCCCGGACTAGGGCTCAAACCTGTGTCCCTTGCATTGGCAGGTGGATTCTTAACCACTGCACCACCAGGGAAGCCCTGTGTGTTTTTTAACATGTAATAAAACTGCTCTACCACTATCCTCCAAAAATTAGCAGGAATTCTTTACTGTTATCAGATATTTTCCTGATTGTCTCAATTTTTTTTTCTTTCACCCCCCCCCCACCATTTTGTTTGTTCAGGTCTAGATCTAAGGTCCACACCTTACTTTTGGGCAGTATGTCTCATTTCCT